TTTTTTTTTCTATTTTATTTTGGGTGCATGAATTCCAATATTGTGATGGTCTTTGCCAGGAGCTGCCTTACGTTCTAGAATAATATGGTTTGCCAAAACAGGTTAAGTTGAAAATGTTTTTTATTTTTTTATTTTTTATAATGCTATATTCATGGGCAATGACTTTCTAATATATTGGGTCTACCCGTTCACTATTTTTCTTATACATAATTTTCGCATTAAGTCTATCTGGTGCAGTTTATGCATGAGGAAACGGAGCATTGTATTGGTCTTAGCTCCTAGACAAACAAAAAAAGGAAGAAAATTTGCATCCATACATTCATCCTTTGTATATCAATATCACATATATACCTGTGTATTTTTATAAATAGATTCCTATTTTCTTGTGCAACATTGTCAAACAAGCATATGATTCTTATGTTCTACGATGTTGAGTTAATCCTTTGACATTAAATTTATCATTTATGGGCTATTTGGTTTTTATTTGAAACAGAAGCTGTCTCAATATAAGTTGCTCCAAGTATATAAAATATTTTGCAAGAACAAGATATCATAATTACTGAATTTTCAGAACTTCAAATTGTTGCGCAGATGAGAAGGCTGGGCAAATAAATGTGACAATGTCTCCAGATCATGAAGTTGAAAAGGTTGCTTTCAAGTCTGCTTTGGTGAGTGAATTTGATACTTGTTCGGTTCCTGCAGTCAACGAGGGAGTCACTGATGTCGTGTTGAATGTGGATTCTGTTATTGACATCATTGTTGAGGGGAAGGAAAGCAACATAGTTGAAGAAAACACAGAAAATTCTCTCGAAGAGAATATAGAGACTGCTGTGGAAGATCATTCACGCAATTTGTTCCGTACAGATGGTAACTCTAGTAATGGTAAGTCAGATGAAGCAGCAGAGTGTCCAAACAAGCTTACCAATGTGGGTTCAATCTCTTCCAACAATGATTTGTCATCCATACGTCAAGCAGATTTTGAAGGTGAGAACATTTTCTTCTAGCCTAATATTGATATTTTTACATTTTTCTGGTGTTTGCTTATGGCGTGCTTTTAAACTGTAGGTGGGTTCTCCAACCCCTTGAATGTTAATAAGGGAGTGGAAACAGAAGAATCTATGATGGGCAAAAGCATAAACCTTCAAAGTGATGAGTTGGATGATCAATCAGTTGAGGATGACAAAGCTAATAATGTCCAAGAGGATCATCAGGACTTGGTAGAATTTGATTCCAGTGGGAATCCAGACCCAGTTCGAGAACATTCACGTGACGTTAGTGAAAGTCAAGAGCCAGTAAAAGATGCAGAGAACTGGTTTCAGGTAGTTGAAAAGTTATGTACAGTTCTTCCTCATGACATTACAAAAGAAAGCCTCGAGGAAAACCATTATGAAATTGCCACCGGCAATACAACTGTCCTACTTCCATCTACATATGTGCCGGAAAGTCACGGTGTGCAAAATTTATTTATTTATTTTTCATAATATTGTTTCTAGAATTTGAAAGATTTCATTTCATGAATTTGAGTTTAGAATTTAAATTTTTTTACTGTAAAACATTCTAAAAAATAATTATATTTAATTTTTTTATTACAATAAAAAGTTCCTAAATAAAATTATATCTCAACTGGCCTGAACTCTTTTTATTATTATATATATTATAAAGCATCCGCTGTTATTAGCAACAAAGCTAACAACTCGTCTGATCCACGTTTAGGGTCTCAGTTTCTCCTTTTGATCTTATGTGACATTTCAAAGTAATTTTCTTGATCGTTTGTTTTGTAGATGGAACTGCAGTTCCTGATGAAACAAGATTCAGTAGAGAGACAAGAATTGGATTTGAAGAGGACTTACACAGTGAATTGAGTTTAACCTCTGTTGTTCAGGACGTTATTCATGGGGGTTCTGAAACAAAGTTAGAGTCAGATGGCATCGTTCTCTCAGTTTTAGACAAGAATGTTGGACAAGTTAATGAGAAGAAAAATCAGGAAAGTTCAGATGGGTGCTCTGATGAAGTCTCCCACAAAATTAATGGTAAGTTGTTTGGTAATGCAGTCTGATAAGTTGAGAAGACATTGTCCAAAAAAATATTCCACGAATCAAGCTTGTTTCAGTTCAACGTTGTAAAAGTTGTAAATTTCGTATCATCTGCTTTTCATTTTTTTTTTCTATTTTATTTTGGGTGCATGAATTCCAATATTGTGATGGTCTTTGCCAGGAGCTGCCTTACGTTCTAGAATAATATGGTTTGCCAAAACAGGTTAAGTTGAAAATGTTTTTTATTTTTTTATTTTTTATAATGCTATATTCATGGGCAATGACTTTCTAATATATTGGGTCTACCCGTTCACTATTTTTCTTATACATAATTTTCGCATTAAGTCTATCTGGTGCAGTTTATGCATGAGGAAACGGAGCATTGTATTGGTCTTAGCTCCTAGACAAACAAAAAAAGGAAGAAAATTTGCATCCATACATTCATCCTTTGTATATCAATATCACATATATACCTGTGTATTTTTATAAATAGATTCCTATTTTCTTGTGCAACATTGTCAACCAAGCATATGATTCTTATGTTCTACGATGTTGAGTTAATCCTTTGACATTAAATTTATCATTTATGGGCTATTTGGTTTTTATTTGAAACAGAAGCTGTCTCAATATAAGTTGCTCCAAGTATATAAAATATTTTGCAAGAACAAGATATCATAATTACTGAATTTTCAGAACTTCAAATTGTTGCGCAGATGAGAAGGCTGGGCAAATAAATGTGACAATGTCTCCAGATCATGAAGTTGAAAAGGTTGCTTTCAAGTCTGCTTTGGTGAGTGAATTTGATACTTGTTCGGTTCCTGCAGTCAACGAGGGAGTCACTGATGTCGTGTTGAATGTGGATTCTGTTGTTGACATCATTGTTGAAGGGAAGGAAAGCAACATAGTTGAAGAAAACACAGAAAATTCTCTCGAAGAGAATATAGAGACTGATGTGGAAGATCATTCACGCAATTTGTTCCGTACAGATGATAACTCTGGTAATGGTAAGTCAGATGAAGCAGCAGAGTGTCCAAACAAGCTTACCAATGTGGGTTCAATCTCTTCCAACAATGATTTGTCATCCATACGTCAAGCAGATTTTGAAGGTGAGAACATTTTCTTCTAGCCTAATATTGATATTTTTACATTTTTCTGGTGTTTGCTTATGGCGTGCTTTTAAACTGTAGGTGGGTTCTCCAACCCCTTGAATGTTAATAAGGGAGTGGAAACAGAAGAATCTATGATGGGCAAAAGCATAAACCTTCAAAGTGATGAGTTGGATGATCAATCAGTTGAGGATGACAAAGCTAATAATGTCCAAGAGGATCATCAGGACTTGGTAGAATTTGATTCCAGTGGGAATCCAGACCCAGTTCGAGAACATTCACGTGACGTTAGTGAAAGTCAAGAGCCAGTAAAAGATGCAGAGAACTGGTTTCAGGTAGTTGAAAAGTTATGTACAGTTCTTCCTCATGACATTACAAAAGAAAGCCTCGAGGAAAACCATTATGAAATTGCCACCGGCAATACAACTGTCCTACTTCCATCTACATATGTGCCGGAAAGTCACGGTGTGCAAAATTTATTTATTTATTTTTCATAATATTGTTTCTAGAATTTGAAAGATTTCATTTCATGAATTTGAGTTTAGAGTTTAAATTTTTTTACTGTAAAACATTCTAAAAAATAATTATATTTAATTTTTTTATTACAATAAAAAGTTCCTAAATAAAATTATATCTCAACTGGCCTGAACTCTTTTTATTATTATATATATTATAAAGCATCCGCTGTTATTAGCAACAAAGCTAACAACTCGTCTGATCCACGTTTAGGGTCTCAGTTTCTCCTTTTGATCTTATGTGACATTTCAAAGTAATTTTCTTGATCGTTTGTTTTGTAGATGGAACTGCAGTTCCTGATGAAACAAGATTCAGTAGAGAGACAAGAATTGGATTTGAAGAGGACTTACACAGTGAATTGAGTTTAACCTCTGTTGTTCAGGACGTTATTCATGGGGGTTCTGAAACAAAGTTAGAGTCAGATGGCATCGTTCTCTCGGTTTTAGACAAGAATGTTGGACAAGTTAATGAGAAGAAAAATGAGGAAAGTTCAGATGGGTGCTCTGATGAAGTCTCCCACAAAATTAATGGTAAGTTGTTTGGTAAAGCAGTCTGACAAGTTGAGAAGACATTGTCCAAAAAAATATTCCACGAATCAAGCTTGTTTCAGTTCAACATCGTTCTATTTTATTTTGGGTGCATGAATTCTAATATTGTGATGGTCTTAGCCAGGAGCTGTCATACGTTCTAGAATAATATGGTTTGCCAAAACAGGTTAAGTTGAAAATGTTTTTTATTTTTTATAATGCTATATTCATTAATTTTTTTATTACAATAAAAAGTTCCTAAATAAAATTATATCTCAACTGGCCTGAACTCTTTTTATTATTATATATATTATAAAGCATCCGCTGTTATTAGCAACAAAGCTAACAACTCGTCTGATCCACGTTTAGGGTCTCAGTTTCTCCTTTTGATCTTATGTGACATTTCAAAGTAATTTTCTTGATCGTTTGTTTTGTAGATGGAACTGCAGTTCCTGATGAAACAAGATGCAGTAGAGAGACAAGAATTGGATCTGAAGAGGAATTACACAGTGAATTGAGTTTAACCTCTGTTGTTCAGGACGTTATTCATGGGGGTTCTGAAACAAAGTTAGAGTCAGATGGCATCGTTCTCTCAGTTTTAGACAAGAATGTTGGACAAGTTAATGAGAAGAAAAATCAGGAAAGTTCAGATGGGTGCTCTGATGAAGTCTCCCACAAAATTAATGGTAAGTTGTTTGGTAATGCAGTCTGATAAGTTGAGAAGACATTGTCCAAAAAAATATTCCACGAATCAAGCTTGTTTCAGTTCAACGTTGTAAAAGTTGTAAATTTCGTATCATCTGCTTTTCATTTTTTTTTTCTATTTTATTTTGGGTGCATGAATTCCAATATTGTGATGGTCTTTGCCAGGAGCTGTCTTACGTTCTAGAATAATATGGTTTGCCAAAACAGGTTAAGTTGAAAATGTTTTTTATTTTTTTATTTTTTATAATGCTATATTCATGGGCAATGACTTTCTAATATATTGGGTCTACCCGTTCACTATTTTTCTTATACATAATTTTCGCATTAAGTCTATCTGGTGCAGTTTATGCATGAGGAAACGGAGCATTGTATTGGTCTTAGCTCCTAGACAAACAAAAAAAGGAAGAAAATTTGCATCCATACATTCATCCTTTGTATATCAATATCACATATATACCTGTGTATTTTTATAAATAGATTCCTATTTTCTTGTGCAACATTGTCAAACAAGCATATGATTCTTATGTTCTACGATGTTGAGTTAATCCTTTGACATTAAATTTATCATTTATGGGCTATTTGGTTTTTATTTGAAACAGAAGCTGTCTCAATATAAGTTGCTCCAAGTATATAAAATATTTTGCAAGAACAAGATATCATAATTACTGAATTTTCGGAACTTCAAATTGTTGCACAGATGAGAAGGCTGGGCAAATAAATGTGACAATGTCTCCAGATCATGAAGTTGAAAAGGTTGCTTTCAAGTCTGCTTTGGCGAGTGAATTTGATACTTGTTCGGTTCCTGCAGTCAACGAGGGAGTCACTGATGTCGTGTTGAATGTGGATTCTGTTATTGACATCATTGTTGAGGGGAAGGAAAGCAACATAGTTGAAGAAAACACAGAAAATTCTCTCGAAGAGAATATAGAGACTGCTGTGGAAGATCATTCACGCAATTTGTTCCGTACAGATGGTAACTCTAGTAATGGTAAGTCAGATGAAGCAGCAGAGTGTCCAAACAAGCTTACCAATGTGGGTTCAATCTCTTCCAACAATGATTTGTCATCCATACGTCAAGCACGTCAAGCAGATTTTGAAGGTGAGAACATTTTCTTCTAGCCTAATATTGATATTTTTACATTTTTCTGGTGTTTGCTTATGGCGTGCTTTTAAACTGTAGGTGGGTTCTCCAACCCCTTGAATGTTAATAAGGGAGTGGAAACAGAAGAATCTATGATGGGCAAAAGCATAAACCTTCAAAGTGATGAGTTGGATGATCAATCAGTTGAGGATGACAAAGCTAATAATGTCCAAGAGGATCATCAGGACTTGGTAGAATTTGATTCCAGTGGGAATCCAGACCCAGTTCGAGAACATTCACGTGACGTTAGTGAAAGTCAAGAGCCAGTAAAAGATGCAGAGAACTGGTTTCAGGTAGTTGAAAAGTTATGTACAGTTCTTCCTCATGACATTACAAAAGAAAGCCTCGAGGAAAACCATTATGAAATTGCCACCGGCAATACAACTGTCCTACTTCCATCTACATATGTGCCGGAAAGTCACGGTGTGCAAAATTTATTTATTTATTTTTCATAATATTGTTTCTAGAATTTGAAAGATTTCATTTCATGAATTTGAGTTTAGAGTTTAAATTTTTTTACTGTAAAACATTCTAAAAAATAATTATATTTAATTTTTTTATTACAATAAAAAGTTCCTAAATAAAATTATATCTCAACTGGCCTGAACTCTTTTTATTATTATATATATTATAAAGCATCCGCTGTTATTAGCAACAAAGCTTACAACTCGTCTGATCCACGTTTAGGGTCTCAGTTTCTCCTTTTGATCTTATGTGACATTTCAAAGTAATTTTCTTGATCGTTTGTTTTGTAGATGGAACTGCAGTTCCTGATGAAACAAGATGCAGTAGAGAGACAAGAATTGGATCTGAAGAGGAATTACACAGTGAATTGAGTTTAACCTCTGTTGTTCAGGACGTTATTCATGGGGGTTCTGAAACAAAGTTAGAGTCAGATGGCATCGTTCTCTCAGTTTTAGACAAGAATGTTGGACAAGTTAATGAGAAGAAAAATCAGGAAAGTTCAGATGGGTGCTCTGATGAAGTCTCCCACAAAATTAATGGTAAGTTGTTTGATAATGCAGTCTGATAAGTTGAGAAGACATTGTCCAAAAAAATATTCCACGAATCAAGCTTGTTTCAGTTCAACGTTGTAAAAGTTGTAAATTTCGTATCATCTGCTTTTCATTTTTTTTTTCTATTTTATTTTGGGTGCATGAATTCCAATATTGTGATGGTCTTTGCCAGGAGCTGCCTTACGTTCTAGAATAATATGGTTTGCCAAAACAGGTTAAGTTGAAAATGTTTTTTATTTTTTTATTTTTTATAATGCTATATTCATGGGCAATGATTTTCTAATATATTGGGTCTCCCCGTTCACTATTTTTCTTATACATAGGTCAAGTTTGGAGTTAGTTCTGTTTTTGTTTTTCACATTTTTCGAGAAAAAAAATGAAAATAGGAGAGAAACGATATTTGACATAATTAAAGATAAAAAACAGAAATAAAAATGATTTTTTTGTTTAGTGTAAAATGTGTGAGAAATGAAAAACGATTTTTAGTTGTTTTTCTTTTTTCGTTTCTGTTTTCTCCTCTCTCGAGCATAGAGAAAGAGATAGAGATATTAATGAATTTTTTTATACTGATAACAATCTCTTGATAAAACTACTAAATGCACTTTTAAAAATGATTTTTGTGTGAGATTGAAAACATTTCCATTTTCATTTTCATACAAAAAAACAAAATCATTTTAGAACGAGTTCTAAACGCACTCATAATTTTTGCATTAACTCTATATGGTGCAGTTTATGCATGAGGAAACGGAGCATTGTATTGGTCTTAGCTCCTAGACAAACAAAAAAAGGAAGAAAAATTTCTTCCGTACATTCATCCTTTGTATATCAATATCAAATCTATACCTGTGTGTATGTGTGTGTATTTTTATAAATAGATTCCTATTTTCTTGTGCAACATTGTCAAACAAGCATATGATTCTTATGTTCTACGATGTTGAGTTAATCCTTTGACATTAAATTTAACATTTATGGGCTATTTGGTTTTTATTTGAAACAGAAGCTGTCTCAATATAAGTTGCTCCAAGTATATAAAATATTTTGCAAGAACAAGATATTTTGCGTTTGTGCAGTAAATCATTTAATAATTACTGAATTTTCAGAACTTCAAATTGTTGCGCAGATGAGAAGGCTGGGCAAATAAATGTGACAATGTCTTCAGATCATGAAGTTGAAAAGGTTGCTTTCAAGTCTGCTTTGGTGAGTGAATTGGATACTTGTTCGGTTCCTGCAGTCAATGAGGGAGTCACTGATGTCGTGTTGAATGTGGATTCTGTTGTTGACATCATTGTTGAAGGGAAGGAAAGCAACATAGTTGAAGAAAACACAGAAAATTCTCTCGAAAAGAATATAGAGACTGATGTGGAAGATCATTCACGCAATTTGTTCCGTATAGATAGCAACTCTGGTAATGGTAAGTCAGATGAAGCAGCAGAGTGTCCAAATAAGCTTACCAATGTGGGTTCAATCTCTTCCAACAATGATTCGTCATCCATTCGTCAAGCAGATTTTGAAGGTGAGAACATTTTCTTCTAGCCTAATATTGATATTTTTACATTTTTCTGGTGTTTGCTTATGGCGTGCTTTTAAACTGTAGGTGGGTTCTCCAACCCCTTGAATGTTAATAAGGGAGTGGAAACAGAAGAATCTATGATGGGCAAAAGCACAAACCTTCAAAGTGATGAGTTGGATGATCAATCAGTTGAGGATGACAAAGCTAATAATGTCCAAGAGGATCATCAGGACTTGGTAGAATTTGATTCCAGTGGGAATCCAGACCCAGTTCGAGAACATTCACGTGACGTTAGTGAAAGTCAAGAGCCAGTAAAAGATGCAGAGAACTGGTCTCAGGATGCTGAAAAATTATGTGCAGTTGCTCCTCATGACATTATAACAGAAGACGTTGGGGAATACCATTGTCGAAAAATTGCTTCCAGCAATACTGCTGTACTGCATCCATCTGCATTTGTACTAGAAAGTCAAGGTCTGCAACTGCAACATTCCTTTTTTCTAAATTATTTTACGTGATGTTTTTGAGGAATTTGTTTGAAAGTATATTTTAACAATGCCGTTGTTGTGCAAACATTGTCAAACATTTGATTTTTAAGGATTTTTTTATTATTATTTTTAATTTTTGCGTTTGAATTTAATTTTCCGTGCAACATTGTCAAAGATTTGAGTCTTATGTTGTACGACGTTGAATTCATTCTTTGACATTAAGGTTAACGTTATGGGATATTTGGTATTTGTAATTGATACTCTCTAGTTTCTTCAGAAATATAATAGTATGCAAGAAAAACTCATCTGGTCTTTATTTAGTAAATCTTTAAATATTTATTGACATTTTTTAAGAATTGTTGATGTGCAGATGAGAAGGCTAGGCAAACAAGTGTGACAGTGTGTAGAGATCATGAAATTGAAAAGGATGCTTTCAGTGTAGGTGAACCAGGGTCACCACCTCATTTTTCTCCGGAGAAGGTGCAGGAGGAGAAGGAGGTGGTTTCTGCAGCTTATGAAGTTATAAACTACGGTGTTTTTGTAACTACAGAAGTTGCTGACCATACGAAGGACGATGATCAGAGTGTTACATTGAACCATGCCGACGAAGATGTTGAAGTTCCAGAAGCTGAAGATGAAACTGATGAAACATGCAGAGACAAATTTGATTGTGAGAACATTGAGAATGGCAAGAAGTTGGACGAGGAAAACCATCCAGAGATCAAAGTATATGTTGGTCTCTTTTCTGATAGTCCTGAAGCATATTCAAAAGTTGTCTTTATAAAAACTGAAAGTCGACAGCCAGTACAAAGTGCAGAGAACTCGTCTCAGGAAGCTGAAAAGTTATGTACAGTTGTTCCTCTTGACATTGAGAAAGAAATGCTGGAGGAGGAAAGTCAATATGGTGAAATTGCCTCCAGCAATACTGCTTTACTACTTCCATCTACATTTGCAGCAGAAACTCCAGGTGTGCAACATCCCTTCTTCTGATTTTCTTTCAATTGTTGTTTTCGTTGTCAGGTATTCACTCATGGAATTTGTTTGAAAGTAGGCAATAAGGTGAATAATTTCACATTTCAAAAAAAAAAAAAATCACATTTTCATGCAAGGATGCCATGGTTGAAAAAGGGTCCCAACTAATCTCTTAAAATTTTTTTTTTTCAACGATTGATTATTTGTAGATGGGATTGAAGTTCCTGATGAAACAGCATTCAGCGGAGAGACTAGTTGCAGCAAGGGATATTGCAATGATGGTAAAACAAAGGAAAATGAGTCTGAAGAAAAATTACATGATGTACTAACATCTGTTGCTCGGGTAGGTATTCACGAGGGTTCCAAAGGAAAGTTACGGTCAGGTGGCAGTGTCATTCAGGTTCTAGACAAGAGTGATGAACAAGTTGATGAGGAGAAAATTCAGGAAGATTCAGATGGGTGCTTTGATGAAATCGCTCACAAAGCTGATGGTGAGTTTTTAGATAAAGCAGCCTGATAAGTCAAACAATAGATTGTTTCAAAAAATATGCTACGGATCTAGTTATTTTAGTTCAAAATTCCAAAGGTCGTGTCAACTTCTTTAAATTAGCTCCTCGTCTGCACTAAAGGGAATAATAATTATGATATCTTTGCACTTCATAGGTGAGTGTTTTAGAAATAAATTTTTCAATCCTTATTAGAGAACAGAAAATCTTATCAAAGTCAGTGATGCTCTTATTGCTTTAAAGGAGAAGACCTGATTTTTTTTTCTTTTATTTTTAAATCACAAACCCTAATAAGTTGTTGGTGTGCAGATGAGAAGGCTGGGCAAACAAGTGTCACAGTGTCTTCATTTCATGATATTGAAAAGGATGCTTTCAAAGAAGATTGTGAACCAGGGTCACTGCTTGATTTTAAGTCTGAGAAGTTGCTGGAGGAAGAAGAGTGCGACTCTCCAAATGCTTCAAATGAGATGGAGTCCCCGGCTTATGAAGTTTCACAGTCAGTGCTACAAATTGAGCAGCCCGAGTTTGGTGAACTTAAAAGTCATGAGGATTTTGCTTTGGACTTGACCAGAAGCACTTCATTTGCGGCTAATGATGCTAACATAGAAGATAGCAGTGGAAGAATGGACAATGGATTAGATACCAAGGACAATTCAGAAACAGCAAATATCGATGTTGTAACTTCAGAAGTTGCTGCGGTCAATATGGATTATTTGGTTGAGGGAGGACCAGAAGATACAAATGATGGTGGTCACAGTGTTTCATTGAACAATGGCCATGAAAGTATTAAAGTCCCTGAAGCTAAAGATGAAACTGATGCAACATGCTCCGTTGAAAAGATTGATTATAAGAACATTGAGAATGCCAACAAGTTCGACAGGGAAAACCATACAGAGTTCAAATTATATGATGATCACTGTTGTGACAGTCCTGAAGCATGTTCCAGAAATGGCTTAGGGCTGAATGTTTCTCCCTGTCATGGTTAGCATCTTTGAGACTTTAACTATAGAGTTTAAGCATTTGGACATTAATTTCTTTCTAGTCGTTAAATATTTTACCCTGAATCTTTGGTATGAGATATTGGTTACAAATAATTGTATGTTTGAGTTGGCTTAACACAAATATTCACAAAAAGCAGAAGACGGAAATGGCTCTCATGATTTAAGTGGCGAGAGAAATGATACAACCAAAAAAGAAGCAACGACTAAAGACATGGGTGAGCTGTGAAATTTACTTGTTAGATTTACTGATTTGTTTATAAATTGATTGCTCATCGTTTTAATTTTTGAATCCCAGGAGATAGAGTTACAACCAACAGTAAGTCAAAGTTCAGCGGATATCATGAAGACTTACCAGATGCTACAGATGACTTGAACAAGGAAAACAATGCACCTACTTCACATTTTGCTGAAGAACTGTTTGATGACCATACAGGTGCAACTGAGGATGCTGCTTTTGTCAACAACATTGATTGGGTGATTTCAAATCAGCCTTTATATGGCAATGGAACTGATGATGACAAATCTATTGGAAATGATGACGTAAAAGACATGGGAGAATCAAGTGAAAATTTTGGTCAGTACTTATGCCTTGATACAATTCATGTTTTTCAATCCATGACGTTATTCTAGAGGATTTAGAATTACTTTATAGGTAATAGGAGCGTGATTTCTGATTAACTTGCATTTCTTTCGGAATACAGATAATGGAATCTCTGAGCTTCATGTTCACTCTGCCGAGTTCACCACTATGGAAGTGAATACAAGTTTGGGTAATGTTGAGGAAGATGGCACCAAAAAATTACATGAACTCTTGGAGGAAGCCAATTTAGAAAGCAAGAATGATGAGAATGACAAAGCAGTAGAGGAAGATTTGGTACTGACTGAAGAATCTGGTCAAATCTCCGAGAGGCAACTTGGTGAACATGAGCATCATATGGACCCAGTTGTTTTGGAAAAGATAATATTAGGAGGCGGAGAAAGTTCAAATGAGCAAGATGATGCATCTGCCATCATCCAAGAGTATATGGAGCGTGAGACTCATGGGGATGAATTCATAAAGATCAACGATTCTTATGCTTCTGAGAATGGAGAAGGAAGGATGTCAGGAGTTGCAGAGATTGAGGGCTATGATTGTGGTGCTGCGGATGATGCGGAGAGGAATAGTATAGCTCACCCTGGCATTGAGAACATGTTAAGAGATAGTGGAGAGAAAGCTGGTGATGAGATCATGGAAAGCAGGATTTGTTCTTATAGCGTTGATCATGGTGCTAAGTTGGTGGATGAATCACTGTTTTTTCCATGTAAATCTGTGGATGGCTGTCGGGGGGATGAGAAAAGCTCTGCGGATATCGAGTTATTGGCTAATACCACTATTGGTGAAACTTTAACAGGTTAATGACATAACTTTCTCACTGCACAATGTTTCTGTCATCATCTTTTGACTAGTGTTTCTCTTCTGAATGTTGAAGTTCTGGTCTTTTGTTAAAATGTACTGATAAATGACAGAAAACAAGACCTAGTAGGGCGCAAGATGCTAATCAATTTGTTTAACTACATTGGTCTAGCATTACAATTTGTAGATAATTCTATTCAGTGGTGGATGCAGGAAAGGAGTCCGAATGTCATATAGGCAGAAATTCTGCAACAAAAAGCGAAGGAATGGATATGGCTACCGTGGAGAGAGGTATGCGAATTTGGTTGTGAACTTATCACTCAAACGGATGTATGGAGAACTTTAAAAAAAAAAAAATTGTATCCATAATTTAATTTTCCAATTTTGTAGGAATTGTTTCCACGGCAATGGATTCACCCATGCAAGGAAATAATCAGCTTGGAACTGATGAAGTAGGCTCAGGAGAGCGTAGAAGTGTATCGAAAGAAGCTTATCAGACAGATGATGTTGATTCTCTGGATTTAAACAATCTTTTCAGCAGCAATATCAGAAATACCATCAAGGCTACTCCCAAAAAAGTTGAAGAACACAATTTGTATAATCCAGAAAACAAAGAAGCATCTTTTGCTGCATCCAAGGACACCGAAAAGGATGTTCACTGCTCTACTCTTTCCTTGGTGACTGCTTCTTCCAGTGATGACATGCACTTCAAGCGTAAAGGTAAGCCAAAATGCAAAATCCATTCAAATTGCAGTGCCTTTTTGTCCTTTAATTATTTGCAGCATGCTTTTTCTTTACTAATGTTTTTCCCATTTTTGAAAAAATACAGAGAAGAACCCATTGGAGTTTATTGACAAGTCGCCTTTATTCACTAGTTTCGAGCTGAAATTGTTTTCTGAAGGTGGCAAAGGAGAGGAGGTTGAGAAACTATATGAAAGGAATTTTGAAGAGAAGGACAATGTGATGAGTGAAAGTAGTGAGGAAGAGAAGAAAGGGGTTGATAACGTTGTTTCTGTTTCACAAGTTTCTGCAGAGTGTTGTCATCTTGAGAACAAAATGGCTTCGAACACCGAGAACCAATTCCCGGTTGCTTTTGAAGATTCCCACCGCGAGGAGAGTCGGGAAGAAAACTTGATGAGAAGCATTAGTGGATCTGCTAATCCTGCAAGGAAGAGCAACAGTAGATATATGGTCCCAGTGACTCCCAAGAGTGTTCAGAAACTCAATGCCATGAAAGAAAACATTGGAACCGCTAAGAGATGCGTAACAACCTTACAGAGATCAAAAAGGCGACCACTCGGAGATTTACAAAAGAATTAGGAGACATAACAGCCTCACAAAGACAATAAAGGCGACCACTTGAAGACTTGCAAAAGAATTAGTCTTGAACCTGAACCATTAATTATTCTTTTGATGATAACCAATCTTTTCTTTCTTTTTTTTTTTTTTTTTTTTTCCGTTTGTTTGGAAGATGTAAATGGCTTGGGACATAACTCATGACTTACGCATATCTCATGCGTCCTGCAGATTTTAGATTGAACTCCTACGGTTTGTCGACATTTTGTATGAATGTATATTGGTGTATTTATGCTTTGGTTGACTTCTAAATATGAATTCAGTTCTACATGTGTATCTATAAGTTATGTTTCTATTTTATGGTTCCCCTAATCCTTGATAAGGTATTTGTTACCAATTAAAGCATGCGAAGTAAACATGCAACTCAAACATTTATGGTCGTCCAAATCCTGATAAATAAATAATCACATACTCAATTACCGGAAAGTTTACCTTGCAAGAGCAACTCGGGAAATCTTGTTTCAATTGGGCAAATTATAAAAGAAAATTAACAAGGCACATTTTAACATAATGTGAAAGCATGCATTATGGCAGATTGTTTTGTAGTGTAATTAAAAGTGTATATATATATATATATATATTTCCCAAGGATAATTTGTCATACTAATATTTAGAAGATTACATAATGGTTAGGTTTTTAACATTTTAGACTAAAATAGAAGAATAACATACTCAATTGCTGGAAAATGCTAACTTGTAAGAGATTTTTTTTTTTTTGTTCACCAGATAAATTTGGACATTCAGACTTATCACTTCGAGTGATAGATTATTTTTCAGTCAAAAATACAATACAACAAAGAGAGAGAGAGAGAGCAACATAAATACTATGTGGTGACCTGATTTTCACTTTCAAACACAAGACAAAACACTTTGTTGAGGCTTCAGGAGGTCCCCTTATTAGGAAGGTAAACAAAAATAACACTGAATGCTCTTTCTCTCTCCCTCATGGAATTACAGACAGACCTTGAATACAATCCATTTCAACAAAACACAGTGTCCACGTATAATAATGAATCAAAAGAAAAACCCCTTTTCATAAACAAATCTCAATGTGTCAGATCCCATTTCCTTTATATCTACATGCACCCCAACCAATTGATTGAACTCCTTGAATTTCATCCTTTTGTTTTCCTCCACCATAGATGACCATTTTTTTGAAGACATAGGGATGCCTTTTTCTCTTCAACCAAAAAAGCATTTTTCACTTGTGCATATTTTTCTACACAAACTTTTCTACACGAAATTTTCACAACATCTCTTCTCAACCTTGTTCTGATCTTAGTCACAATCCAATCCACAAACTTCCAACACAATATCACCTTTAGAGACAAATGGGTTGATTCTGACCCACAAAAGTGAGAATATTGACGCCAGAAGAATTGCCCACACAACAAGGATTGTTGGAACCCTGTCCTGTTTGCCCAAGAAACCCTTGAGGAATGGATAGAGATGGGCAATAACCCAAATGGCAAAAAAGAGTCTGCCAAAGAGCGGACCCCACGTGTCGTAACCGTTACTGATGGCATCTGAAACCCCAATGACGACTCCAATTGCGTTCATGATGAGCAAGACCAATGGGGGGAGCAACAAAGTGGTCCACTTAAACAGGTAGAGCTCCGAGAACTCTCCATCGTCGGCTGCTTTAGATGTGACAGTGAAGTTTGTGTTAACCCCAGCTAAAACCTTAAGCAGACCTTGGAAGAGAGCAAAAAGGTGCGACGAAACACCACCGATCACCCAGAACTGCTCATTCCTCCACCAATCGTGTATGCCAACACCACCCCACTGCATCTCGAGAATACCTGTTACGGCAATGGATAAGAAGAGGGCCATAAAGATGATGCTGGCGTAGTTGCTAATCTGAAAGATCAAATAGAAAGTTGAGGTTAGATTTCATTGCAACTGAAAAAGGCATCTGATCCAAGTGCATAAATGTAACATCAGATTTTCCATAATGTACATTTTTTCATGGCATTGTACATGTTAGCTGGAACATTTATGTTTCGACGCACAGACAATACATTCCAAGATAATTTGGATTACCTCAGGGACGATGAACTCCCCGGTAAGTAGACAGATAGCGGGCAAGGTGCAGTAAGCGAGCAAGGGAATTGATGTAATAGGATAAACAACGGAGTTTATGTACGAAAAGCGCTCCAACCACTTTAAACCACACCCATAGCCATACCATATAGGACAATGCCTACTCAACAAAATCTCAACAGATCCCAGGGCCCACCGAAGAACCTGGTGCAGCCGATCTGAAAGGTTAATAGGAGCAGAACCCTTAAATGCAGGCCTTTTGGGTATGCAATATACTGATCTCCAGCCATGGCAATGCATCTTGAAGCCAGTCAGAATATCCTCTGTAACGGAGCCGTATATCCAACCAACCTGAAATGCAATTGAAATTTAAACATTTTCTCTTGAATTTAAAAAATGATGCTAGAGAAAATACTATAAAAAAAATTTTTAAAAAAAAGAAAAAAAAAATCACTAGTTCTTACCTCCTTTCCCCAGTCTGTTTTGTCTTCATATCCGCAACTAATAACGTGAATGGCTTCTTTCAAGAGTGATGCAGAAGATGCACCCTTGGGGACACCACCATCTTCCAAAAGTGCGGAAGCAATAAAAACATTTGATTGACCAAACTTCTTTTCAAATTTGGTTTGGGACATCAGCGATGATCTTTCGTTATCTATTCCTGCAAAGTTCCAATGATAATTAAATGATTTGTTAGTTCTAATAAAACATATCATGATACGAACAGAAAAAGCAATTGCCTAAATATTCTATGATTTAATAAGTCATTAGACACCAAAAAAGAAAGAAAAATTCCCATGCAATTGTTTTAACTCATTACTCTCATCAAAATGAAAACTATCCAAACAGTTGGTTATAATCTACACCAAACTTCAGCCTTTAAATGTTCATGTACCAAGGCAAAATCCTAACAGTTTACCTTTTGTTTTTTTGTTTTTGTTTGTTTTGTTTTGTTTTGTTTTGTTTTTTTTTTGTTTTTTTTGTTTTTTGTAATAAGAACTAACAGTTTACCTTTTTAGCCTTATCACTACAGCACAATCGACAGAGTGATTAAAAAATTCAGCGTATTTAGCATTTATATGGAACAAACTTGTGGCACATTCTAGTGAAAGATCTACATTAAGGAACTGAAAATTTGTGACACGCGAGAATTAAATGGACTTGCAACTATGAATTTATTCTATACCTTCTATTCCCTCCTCAATATTTTCAAGTGCATAAATCTGCTTTGTATCATCCTTAGTTTTCGTCGTCTTCTTTTTGTCTGACTTTGCTTTCTTGTTCTTCTTCCTAGATCCACAACAAAAGCAGCACCATTTTGGCAAACAATTACAGGTCTTTCTTGGGGCTTTCTTCTTTTTGGGAGCATCATTTCCATAGAGTGCCTGCCTTCTAAAGACGCACCCAGTTCCAACATAAATCGGTCCTTGAATCCCATCTAAACCTTTCATGTTGATCTGTAGTTATATATATAAAAAATAAAAAAATTAGCTTTTCCTTGAAAAGAACAGCTTTCAAGAATATACAAAATAGATAATGTTAGGCCCTTACATCAAAGAAAACAACATTCCGATTTGAGTATCTATCATGACGATCAATCCCATCGAATCGTTGAGGAAATTGTACGTAACAGATCTTCTTTCCTGAAGTGGGGTCCATCATGAAGCACATGGCTTCACGAAGCGCCTTGCTGTTGTTTATGTAGTGGTCGCAATCAACATTGAGTATGTAAGGTGCATTTGAGATGATTGCCGAGACTCGTATCTTGAATAATCAGCAAAAGAAAAAAAGTTTAGTAAGCAATTTAATGGATGCCAAGTTCAGAGAGAGAGAGAGAGAGAGAGAGAGAGATCTACCAGAGCATTCATGGCTCCGGCCTTTTTGTGATGATCAAAACCCGGCCTCTTCTCACGAGACACGTAAATCAAGCGTGGTAAATCATTCCCTTCCAAATCACGGACACCATTGTGACCAAGAAAAACCTGGAGAAGGTGGTATATGCAAGTATACTCATTTTTCTGATAAGATTGTTATAATATCTAGATAGGGCAAAAACAACTTACCTGAATCATGCCAGGATGATCCCTGACACTGTTGCCAGGCCATGGAGTTCCATCTTGCATCGTCCAACCCTCCTCAGGGACCTTCTTTGCAGTGGCAACCAATCCATTAATCCGAACTTTGAACTCCTCATAGTCTCTCTGCATCAACACAACAAGATGACATCAGATGAAGATATCTTCCCGAACAAATACCAGAATTATTATGTCAAATCATTTTGCATAGATTTCGTGCATGTTATTATTGCACATTAGATTTGATATTGTTGGACAAATGACACAAACTAATGAAGACAAAGCATTCAAACCTTCATGGCTCTTCGCTCCTTAATAAATGTTGGGTCTACTTTGTCTTTTAGGTAATCAACCTTTTGAGCAAAGTACCACTCTGGGGCTCGCGGTTCTAGTTTGAATTTCTTGCAGAATGGGACCCACTTTCTTGCAAACTCAGACGTCTCTGAGAGGGCTTCAAAAGTCAGCATGGCAGCACCATCATCTGAGACGTAGCATGCAACCTTGTCGACTGGATAATCTACGGCGAGGATAGAGAGAACTGTGTTGGCGGTAATGAGTGGAGGCTCTTTCATAGGATCCACCGTACTTACAAATATATCTATACTGGCCAACTCAGATGGCTTCCCTTCTTTCTCATACCTGAGAAAATTTTCAATAACACCATGGCTAAGAATATATGTATTTTATGAAAAGTGTACGTGAGAACTTGAGAAGAGGGAGCAAGAGAATGTGGCACCTCAATGATAGCCGATCAAGATATGTTTCGCGTATGACTGGACACCATTTTGGGAATTGATCCAGGATCCATGATACAGCAAACCAAATTTCACATATAACCGAGGTCAACCACAAACCATATGCACCATTGACGGGGTGGAGAATTCTATAGTGAAAAAATAGGCAGAGGATCACTATCCGAAGAAGAATTATGATTCTATATGGGCTTATCTTGCTTGAAGGAATTGGTCGCTTTCTTGAAAGTGGCTGCCTGCCCTCGTCCATTCTATTAAAAAACATAACATAAATATAATTAGACCTCGTAAAGTCATATAAAAGAGAGAAGGAAAATATAGCCAAAGCTAATCGAACTGCATGCTATCTTTATTAAATGAAAAGTTCGATTACTCGTAACGCTTGGATACTAAATTGGAGGTTCTTAAATCACAACTCACACCAGCATTTAAGTTCAATTCAGAAGGATTCTTTCTTAATCATCATTATGACCCAAGATGCTAATAAGAAATAACACAACATTGCTGATTGCTCCTAATATAAATCCCATCACTCAGAAAAGACTACTTTACTTGAAGAGAGTTCAATTAGTCTCATTATTTTGCATGACTACTAACTTGGTCAAAAGCAACTTGACAGCCACCTTGTGTTCATATACAAATTCTTCTTCCATTTTCCACCCTTGGTTAAGGGGGAAAATGAAACACCTAAAGGAAGTAGAACCTAACTAATATATTGTAATTGATCTTAGCAGTAAAACAACACTTACGTGGGTAACTCATGATCATCTCCATTTTCTCCGCCGCCCTCTCCTCCTTCATGCTTGACCACCTGAAGCTTTTCGTTCTGCTTCTTCCTCCATTCCTCCATGCGATCCTTCCACGCGACAGATCCATAACCATACACTGCCAAATCTTTCTTTGGATCCATTGGTCTTGGTGGAACTACAACGTCAAAAGAACAGATTCCGTAGTTAAGAGCAGGAAGAAACTAAAACAGCTACAAACATCATCAAATCAACTCATTCTACACTCACAGGTAGTGGCAGAATCAGAAAATGGCATCGGATGAACCCGTTTTCCTCGACTCATAAATGGGGGAATTATAAGAGCGTGCTTATCAGAAGAAATGCCGGTATCCTTCAAGTATAAATAACCGTCATCAGACATCTTATCTTAGCTCATAAACATAAGCATAAGAAAAGGAAGGAAAAAAAAAATAGTCACAAACATAAAAATCAGCTTATTCACCTCTTGGCCATAGGTCAGGAGAGGAATTTCAGTAGCAACAGAAGCTGCATCCAGCTCTGACGGAGTAGTGATCCCAAAACCATTGATTTGGGAACTACGACCGACATTGAGGCGAGCCGCAAGCATTGCCTCAGCAATGTTGTTAGGATCTCCGCCATTTGCAATATGAAACTCATTCTCTAAGTCATCAATATCGTCCTCATCTTCATCACCATCAACTCTAGGGCTCCCTGGGATTATCAATCATACTCAAAAGTCAAAACTACAATTCCGATCAACCGAAACTAACATGGATTCTTCTCAAAAGTAAAGTTCTAAGTTAAAACTCCAATCGTACTCACCCAAACCAACATGGGTTCTTGTCAAAAGACGAAATTTTTTTAAAAAATGGCCAACTTAAGAAGATCTCTACTATTCATTTCACTTTCACTGGAAACTGAAAAGGAAAATGAAAGTTTTTACCAAGTAAGGCCTAAAATAGTAAATAGGTAGTACCTTTGATTCTTTTGTATCTGGTTTTGCACTGAGGACAAGCTTGATTTCCCTCTCTTCTTTCATACTCATAGCAAGGTCTACAAACAGGAAATGCACATTCATTGCAAGCAACAAAAGGCTCTCCATCCACAGTAATCTCAATCTCATCCCCACAGATCTGGCAAATCTGCCCACTTAACTCTTTAACAGAAGTCACCTGAAAAAGAAATACCGCATTTAGCAACTAACCACCAATCTCTTGTCAAAACCATCAAGATTAGAGAAAGTCAAAAAACACAGTTGCACAAGAAGTCTTTTTGTAACTGCCATAATGCAATACCAAATTAGTCTCAGAAAGAGGGTAATTAACAGTATAACATTTACTAGAGCAGAAGAAAGAAAATTTGTTGTTAAAACAAGTTTCGTTGTTCTTTTTTATTTTTTTGTTCCTCACTCTTTCGGTTTCATTGACCAGCTCTGAAATCAAGAAAAAGGAGAGCGAAAAACAGGAACTAATCAATCCAAAAGCCACATGAGAAGTGTCCACATAAAAAGAAACATATAATAACAAAGCCAAAAAGAGAGAAATTATGGAGAAGATAAAACATAGTGAGGTAAGCGAGACCAAAAAAAAAAAAAGGTTAAACGTGTTAGTTTGAGGATCTAAAAATTCGATAAGAAAAAAATGAGCAAAATGTAGTGAAGAACAATAAAAAAAAGGAAGACATACTCGTGAAACCTCATCGGCATTGATGACAACAAACTCATTCCTGTTGTGAGAACCAGCAACGAGGCGTCCTTTGGTATCCATGAGGGACCAAACAAAAAGAAAAAAGTCTTGAGAGAGAAAATTAAAGAAACCCCACTTCACAAAACAACCACTTTCATCTCCAAAGAAGAAGAAGAAGAAGAAACACGGAACTTGCCAATTGGTCTTTCTCCCTCCTTTCTCTGTTTTAGAGAGAGAGAGAGAGAGAGAGAGAGAGAGAGAAATAAAATGGGATAGTAATGGAATTGAAAGAAGAGGGAAAAAGGGTATTTGGTATTTGATATGAAAATGAGGAAGGAAGAATGATGAAACAATGAAATGATTCTTTGCTTGGCTACAAGTGTTTCCTCTCTCTTTCTCTGTCTGAGAAAGGAAAGGAAATGAAAGGAAAGCTTTGTTCTTTCGATCTGTGGAATGCCAAATTATACTAAGAGACGCACAGAAGAGAGAATCTATATGCAAAAATACGTTGTTTTCTTTTTCTTTTCTTTTTTTTTTCTTTTTTTGGTGGGGGTGGAAAGGTTGAAAATTCAATGCCCCAACAGGACGAGAGACAATGCACAGAACAAAACTAATAGCCAAAAATCAGATCCACAATTATTATACTAATATGTAATATCATATTATAAAAAAATTATTAGATCAATCTGTTTAGCTGTATCTCTAATCTAATAATAATAATAATAAAACAATACATAATTAGTAATTACTATATATAAATATGTAAGCTGAGAAACAAAAAATTACTAATTACTATATAAATATGTAAGCTGAGAAACAAAAAATTACTAATTACTATATAAATATGTATCAGTAAGTTTTGAATGTTGGAAATTTTGGTCTATTTGACAGTAAAAATAACAGAGTAGCAATAGAGCAATTGGGCATTTGTATTATTATTATTATGTTATTACTAACAGAAGGAGAATCCCAAATTACAGCTATTTTGTGGTGGGAGAGAGTGGGATCCAGATTCTGCTGATGAAATAATGAGAAGGGTATTTTTGTAATAATGCATGTGATGTAGAGAGAGAGAGAGAGAGAGAGAGAGAGAGAGAGAGCTTTCTTTCCTCTTATGAGTGAGTTATGAGCTGTGTGTCGGTTGGGTTTTGTTTTGTAAATTTTGTGTAGTTTTGACGTCTCTTTCAGGCTTTCCAATTCAATGAGTTTTTTTGGTTTTTATTGAATTGTCAAAAGAGAGAGAGAGAAAGAGAGATTAAAAAAGGAAAAAAAAAATACAGTGAGTTGTAGTGAGAGAAAGTGAGTTGTGGGTGTCGAGTTAGAGTGCATTATCACGTGCCGCTCACGTGGGACCCCGACCGACAGTTTGTTTGCAAAATCTCCCGAGAAATTGAACACCTGTCCACAATGGCGGGCTCTTTCTTTTTCCAGTTGACCAAACTACCCTTAGAAGAAACGTTTTCCCTATTTCTTTTGTTTTTTCTTTTTCTTCTTTTTTATGGAACTTTCCTTTCCTTTTCTTTATTTTTTTGCTTTATTTATTTTGGTTGTTGCTGATTTTTTATTCTAAATTTTATTTATTTATTAGTACTTGGAACGGAAATAAGCAGCCAATCTTCCCTTTTTTCTTTTTCGCTGCTATAAGCAGCGATGTTGCGTGTGAGTGCTAAAAAAATTTTTTTTTTTTTTTTTTTTTTTTTTTTTTCTGATCGACTTTTCTAAGAACCAACCATGACTAGTAATGTATTTCAATAAACAAAACTTTGTGCTGGGATGAAAATAAATAAATAGATATACACCAATAATAACAAGAAAAGGTCATACTTTAGTACATCAAAAGCCTTCTAAATAATTTCTTATTTTGTGTTTCATTTTACATGATTTGCCAAGAAGCATAAAAGAAAGTTGTGTGAAATTCTTCCACTTGAATTTGAGATAATACACATAAATAAACACTATTTTAACAACTAATCTCAAGTATATTTCTTTTTATGGTTGATTGAGTTTGAGAAATTACTTGGTACATCTTAAATATATATAAAAAAAGAGAAAAAAAAGAGAGAGAGAAATAAAATCAATGATTCATTTTGTGATATATGCAGGTCACTGACTCAAGTTAAAATCTAATTATCTTTTCTTCTTTATTTTTAGGAAAATTCTTTTATATGTCTGGCGTACTAGTTGGTCAAGTTTTTCTAACCGTTAGATTTACGTACCTTTTAATTTTTACGTGATTTTATGCAAATCTAATGGACAAAAAACCTGACCTACTAGTATATTATGTTGGTCCACCGGAGAAGGTCCCATATATTTTATTTGTGTTGAAAAAGTTAAAACCTAACCTAAAAGAAAAGAATGTACTTTAAACAAATATGGCAGCTTCTTGCTGTGCAGATAAAGTTAATTATGCACTAAATACTTGACAAACCCTAGAATATTAAGGTATAGCTAGAAAGCTTACTTCTACACCATTTTATTCAAAGTATACTGTTGCTTATAGTTGAGTCACTTGCATGCATGCATATATATATATATATATGTGTGTGTGTGTGTGTGTGTATTATATGAGTATCTTTCAATTCCTTAGCAATTACCATGATGATTTTTATTTTCTTTTTATGTTGTTAGGCATAATCAAAATCATTATATAGAACTTCCTGCTTCTATTAAACTTAAACTTAAACAAGTACGATGAGTTATGAAATATGAATAATAATTTTTTAGCGCTGTACAGAGAAATTCTCTTTGCTTATAAATTATGTTTTTAATGTTATATTATTGAAATATGTGTATATAAAAGAAGATATTTTAGATATATCTTCCTTAAAAAAGAAAGAAAGAAAATATACCTATTTGGATATGTTTAACTTGGTTTATCTATTTCTTTCAGAATTTGTTATTGTGTTAATTTTAATTCTAATTAGCGCAAGATTTCAGAATTTTAACTCTTTTATAACCCATATCTACTTATAATTTTTTTTTTAATAAGTAGACAATTTTATAAAAAAGAAAAGAAAAAAAGTTCGTACCATTTATAATTTCAATAAGTAGTTGATCCATTTTGTTATAGATGTGAATTGAGTGTTCCAGTTTGGTTAGGTTATGTGGTTAATTTAATTAGCATATATATATATATATATATATATATATTACTTAAACTACATAATCTTCTGAGTTGTTTTCATTTAGTGACTAATATATTGATATGTATATTAATTTAATTTTCTTTTTTTTTTCAAAACTTATCTTGTTAGGTAATCGCATATCATTCAGTTACTCATATATATCTCTGTGTGTGTATTGATACACAAAACATGTATATTAAATTCCAACAGACAAATTTTAAATAAATGGAAAAACATAAAATCCAATACATATATATTTATTTATCATTTCGTGTTGGCTTATTAAAATTAAATCAATATTGTCAATATATTGAGTACTAGGCAAGAAAAGATCAGGTACATTATGTATGTATACTGACTATACATTCAACCTCACACACACACATTTTTAGCCAAAAAAAAATACTCTTACACAAACATATATATATATATATATATGTATGTGTCTGTGTATATATGAATGAACAAATAGTTAATAAACTATCGCTTTTCCCGATGATGTTGTTTTACACAATTATTTTCGTTATAACAAATGGTGAAATTAGAGTGGCCTATATCCTTGATTCTTATACAACGTGTACGTAAGCTATGAAAGCGATATAATAACAACCAATTAATAAAATGGTTAAGCATGACTCACGTTAAATTTCATGTATTATTTTGGAAGGAAAACGTTGAACAAACAAACCTACTAATTGAGTCCAAAAGATTACTGCTGAAACAGTGTCATTATATATATATATATATAATACAAATTTTAACTTGGATACTAACTAGTGTAAATTAGGTTGTATTTTATTTGTAAGTCCCGTTCATTTCACCGATTCAAGTTTTGCTATAATAAAAAGCTTTTAAAAACACTCACATTTAACATTTTTACTACAGAAAAAGACTTTCACATAAAGTCACATCTAAACTCGAACCAACGAACTAAACAGGCTCTTAAAGTTTAGTTATTGATCTACGTCATATTTTGATGTGAAAACAATTGGGCTTAACTTTTTCACAAAAATGGCATATTTGAATTCCAACTCCGTGAAGTTAAATTCCTCTAACTTTTACCCCTCTAGCTAATTTTTTTTTTCTCGTGTCAATCATATTTTGATATGCACGTAATAGCGAAATTGAAATAATGTCATACATTTGTGATAGAAAAAAAATGTAATTGTAGTAGAAAAAAAACAAAATAAAATAAAATAAAATCATACAATAACATAAGATTAATAGAAATTTTTCTGATTAGACACATGCTGTCAGTAAGATTTTAAAATTTTAATTTTTTATATATATAAAACTTTGATAAAATTTCAATTATATTCCGAAATTTCAAAATAAAATTATATATAAAATATTATGTCCCCGTACAGTAATAAAAATTTATAACTATACTCTTATTCAATAAATCTTTGCTTATACTTTTCATATAGTCCCCACAAAAATAAAATTCTGATCCCTTAAGTGATCTTATTTGGTATCCTTTAGTATGTGTACACATATATACACATATAATTAAAGTGAGAAGAAGATGGTAGAATAATATTTCAAAGCATGTGTTTTGAGAATCAAATAGTGGGAATTTATACACACATATATATATATATATGTATATATATATATGTATATATATATATATTTATATGGGAAATACATGTGTAGATGAAAGCATCCACATGGGGACATATATCTTAAATATTAGAGCAAGTGGGCCATCTAGATGCTTCCTCTTCAGTTAACCTGTCTATTTGTTTTTGCTGTTAAATTGTCACCTAAACGTATCTGCAGGCCGGAAAATAGTCATCCTTGTTGCAAAATTTAATTTTATACGTATATTGCTCCAGCACAAATATCTTTCTTTTCCTATTTTCTTTTGTGACCAATGATTGAAGCCAATAAATTTGCAGAAACTTTTTTCAAGATCATGTTTGATTGGCCAAGATTAATTATAGGATCAATTATTTAAATAATAAATTGTAATATTGTTTCCATTGGTGCTGCCGACACATGACCGAGTACTTTGCACTTGGCAAATATATACATACATATAGTAATCAATTGATTAATTTGTCTGAATTTTTCCCTTTTAGTAAAGTAACAACTGTTTGAATATAAAACTTTTGTGTGTCACTTTCTAAAAGTAAAAATTGTTAACCTAATATGGCAATTTGGACTTGAAATTGCTGAAATTACTTTAATACAAGTTACGTGATTACCATATGTGTATTAGTCAATTTATAAGTTTAGATAGTCAGATACTACGGGGTTGTTCTTTTGTAAGAAAACTCATAAAAAGTTTGAACTCGAGTTACAACTTTATTCAAGTTTATGTTCTTTTGTAAAATTTGAATTTGAACTCGAATTTAAACTCGAGTTTAGGACTAAACTCGAGTTCAAATTTCTCCTTCAACTCGAGTTCATAAACTCGAACTCAAGTTAATGAATAATATTTTTTCTATTCTTAAAAATGTCATAACTTTTTTGTTTTAATTCTG